TAGGACATCGGATGTTCACGCACTAATATCTATTTGATTTGTCCCTTCTTGTATGCAACACTTGACACTTGCTACAATAACAAAACCGAATAAAAAAATATATGTGCGTCATGGCACGTTTAACCATGCCGAGTGACGAAACATAGGTGAAGGTAATGGGAGAATGAGCTCAGTTCGCGTCTCCAGACTATCAACGTAACGGTTCTATATCCGTTCAGTGAATTCGTATGAAGAAACCTTTTTCGAAATTCTGTTGGTTTTCGTTCGTTGCAGTTGAAACAATCTGACTTCGCGTAGTGACACGTGGCATAGGTTAATAGTCAAAATCGTGGACCGAGAACATTAATATTCATCAGTAGAGACTAAATACTTTAGAAAGTAGCTTCGGGACATATAGTGACATAGTAGTGATCACGATAGACTGACTAGTCAGGGCGTAGTCATCGTGGAAGATGAGTTACTACGGTGATGGAAGTGAAGCTCCGCTCGACGACTTGCTCGTTAAAACGGCGGTCGAAGTTAAGCGATTTCTTCCATCGCTTTTCAACATCAAAGTGGTAGGCACTTTTAAAGACGCTTGATTAGTTTCTTAGATTTTTAATTCGATAAATGTTAACATTGACACATCTGGCATCGATTGTTATTCGCAATATCATCATCTCGTATTTGCGAAATTCCTTGAGAAATTGGTTTTGAATAATTTCGCAGAGTGGACAATAATTTTAATGGGTCACATTTCGAAATACCTCGTAAATTTTTCGATAATATCGCTTTTGAAATACAAGATTGTCAAATGTTTCGGCGGGATTCATAACCTTTAAACCATTTACTTGCTCGATATTTCACGAATAATCTGTCAAATAATGTTTCATTAATGTTAACATAATTTTCAAAAAATTTGCAAATTTTCATTAACATGTAAACCTAAATAAAGCACAAAAGTAATTTCAATTCTTTGATCAATGTTGAAATACATCTTAAATTGTATGAGTCATAAATTCAATAATAATGCAATTGACTTACATAAATTACATCTTTTATAATTTAACAACAAATAGCCACCTTAACCTTACGTTAGAAATAATTCAATAATTAATTTTATTATTGAAAATGAAGGAATGAATATAGCTAGATAAAAATGAGTAACAAATGGAAGCTGCTCCATTCAGGTTTACGCTGTAAATTTTTCCTCAACATCTACGCATAATGTATCACATTACTAATCCTTAATTGCATCCTTCAACTTACAACTACATTTGTTAAAACTATACGTAATGCGTTCAATTTATTACTAAGTATCTTGTGGTGGTAATTTACCAATTATTTGGCTCACATTGTGTCACGTATCTACATATTTCGTCACGTTATCCCTGACCTACCGTTTCTTGATAACGACTAATAAAGGAGGACACACGCATGTCAGTTAAGTGAATCATGCGTTTGTACTCGCTCGGGCTGCCTCTGAAGATTAAAACATTCCATTAATCTAATTACTTTAATAACCGCACTGTTTTCTTAAATTAATTCAATCCAAAAAAATTTCCTTACTAATTCAATTTACGAACGTTTTGCACGTTACTTGCGTTAACATTCAGTGCATGCGCAATGCTTGAAAGCGATTCAATTTAAAACCGGATGTTGCCATCGAAATAAGTGAAGCTGATTGAAATAAATAATACCGAATACTTCATCACGCATTTAACGATGAATATTTATATTTATAAACAACTTTTTATCTTTCATCCGTATATTTTACAGGATATTATTATAGTTTCATGAGAATTGGAACTTGTTTAGGTTTTTCCCCGTTATTATTATGACAATTGTCAATCTTCTACAATTCGTTCTACGTTCTAAGAAAAATTTGAATTTTCAGAACATTGCTTAAAAGATAATCGAATTAAAGTATGAAATTCTGACACATTTTATATTCTATTCTTCAGATTTTATCGTGTTTTTATACATTTAGATCATTTTCCAAGGTAAAGTGTGGTTGCTGAAACCACAGTTTGAGCGAAATAGAGAGCTGGAGCCTCGTTCAAGGTCATTAGATGTCAACTTGGTATTAGCTTTTCTATTGCAATATATTTAACTAGTTGGTGTCTTAATACGTTCGCTGCCACCAGAGTCGATAGTACGGTGAACAATACATGCTGGACCGCATATGCTGCGTCGGTGGCAGCGAACATGTTAATCTTTGACAGCTATAAATATCCATGTCTTAATTGCATGGATGAATTGTTGGATGTCTTTTTTTTTTTTTTTTGGTAAACAGTATAAAGATAAAACATATGTTTCGAATGAATTGTAAGATTTCAAACTCTTATACAGGGTGGGGCAAAAATGTTGTCCACCTGAAATATTTCCGTTATTCGTAATAATATAGACAAATGTTACCCATATACAAGGCTTTTACATACATAGGTGGTGGATTTTCTGAGATTTATTATCGATAAAAAATATCGATTTATCAACGATTAAAAAAATATATCAAATCATTTAAAAAAGAAAAATAGAGATAATCTTGAAATCTCCTATACGTCTTTAGCAAAGTAAAAAAGTATTTACATTACATTACGTTTCCCTCAGTATCTTGCAAATTTTGTGTGTAACATTCTTTCATATTATTACAAACAACGGAAATATCAAAGTTTTCGACAAAGTTTTTTCGTCCCACTTTGTATATTCAAATGCTTGTTTCTTGGCTTTTACTAATCTAATATCTCACATTAGCAGTTTAAATGTAGCACACGTAAAACAACGAGCAGAAATGATTATCTTCAATGGTGATGATGCTGACTGTCACACTTATTAATGCGTACGCATTCTCTAGCTTCTCGTGGAGGAATGTTCGCGGGAATTATGATTAAACATAATACTCTCCCTATGCGTCACGCCATGTGTTATATACTACTTGTTCATTGCACGTGCTTTGGAACAAGTGTGCGAGATAAGAAAGCATCCTTTGTTGATAAAGCTTATCTGTAAGACCTTCGAAATACATTTCCCTTGGTTGAATTAATTCAATTATCCTCGAGATTTATGTAAAATTCTATAATATACAACGAAATTCGTAAAAGTGTATTTTTGGAAAATGATCTCCCGTGTAATCGAAGTACGCCACAGTTATCATTAGTACAACAATTTCTAAACTGATAAAGGGATTATGATCTCAAGTAACAATATGACTAATCTATTAGTCATAGTTAATATAAATAACTGTTTAACTTTGATAACCGATGTTTGTTTTTAGTTTTGTGGATAATAAAATGATTCACCGTAAAGATTTATTGTAATTAATTGGTTTTATTTCTTTAAATGTTGATTTCACGTATCTGATACGTATCTGAATCGTGATTAAGTACTTAATTCTTTTATTTTAAGCGATAGTAGATGTATGAGATACTTAATCTTTCTAATATAGTAATTATAAGTGTATCAAATATATTTCTTTTATTTTTTTTCCCCGCCTGTGCTTGCCAATACGCATTTCCGTAAAAGATAAATATAATCAAATGTGCGTTGAAGGATGTATATATATTTCCATTTCTAATCGTAAGTACCTCAGTTTGACCGTTACAATAAAACCGTTTAAACGTTCTACGAAGTGTGTAACAGCAATTTTCTATAAACGTTTGATATATAAATAATTAGAGTGGTACTTCGAATGGGGTTTCGAATAGTATTCGATAAATAATTTCTAATTCGTCAATATACCCGAAATGGAGAAACGCGAGTACACGAATTACAGATACTTAAGTTACGCGCGAGAAGGTGTAGCTCAGTTGAAATTATCGTCGAAGTTAGAATTTAAAAGCAGCAAGGATACAGACGTGGCGATACAGAGTCCAATTTCTAATGTTACTGCAACAAAATCTCTTCCGTTCACTTCCAAAGCACAATTCTCGAAAAGAGAAAGGACTGATCTTCGTCCGAAATTATCAAGCAAAAAAGCATATGACGATAAACCCTTAATAACAACGAAAAATTTTATTGGAAAATCCTGCTATAACGTAGGCTATTCTATAATTGTTAATTAACATTCTAATCAAAGGAAAAGCAAGCTTCTAGACATAGGGTGACACCGAAATTTATCGAAAAATGGCCACGAGGTGATTTCCTATGAAAAAAAAAGTATAAAATAAAATTTTTTTCATCCGAGATTTAGAGTTCTCGAGAAGATTGAGTTTGAAAATCGGCTCAGTATGTATGCAATTTCAGTAAGAAGATACGGAAAGCCCAGTCCAGTTGAGCGACGTGTAACGCCTATTGTGTTTGTAAACAATGCTACTCGACGGTTACGCGTTGCTAGGTTCTAGAAAGCACAAGGACAAAATTTTTTCAACGGTTATTCGAATTGTTGAAACTCGTGCGCAATCTTACGCAACGCAGGATTTTCAAACCTGATTTTCTCGAAAACTAAGCCTCGGATGGAAAAATTTTATTCTATATTTTTTCTTTGTTACTTTTTTTTCTACTTCCCGATACTTTTTCAACTCTTCGAAAAATTCTTAAGTTTTTCGTAAGGAACCACCTCGTGTCCGCTTGTATGTAACTTTCGGCCTGTATACAGGGTGTCCCAAATGAAAGTATCTACTAAAATATTTTTTAAGTCATGAAAAGTGTTTGTAACACGATTTAAACGATTTCCAAAGGGGAATACCGTGGAAGAAAACATTTTTTTTGCTCATTTTGTAATTTTTTTGTTTTCTTACAATTTTATCACCCTTCTACTGTTCAAGGTCAGCTGAAAGTCGTGATTCAGGCATATTCAAATGTATTCTCTTGTTTGCTACAAGATGCAACAGAAAAAAAATACCCATTTCCTGCATAAAAACTACGATGACCTTGAAAAAATTGAAAAAACTTCTCCCATGATATTCCCCTTTGGAAATCATTTAAATTATGCTACAAATATTTTTCATGACGTTAAAAATAAAAGGAGATATTTAAGTGGTCACCTTTAGAAGATTTACAAAGAGATGCTACTTTTGTTTTAGCTAGGAGAAAAGGGTTCTGGCTTCAGACCTCAGGGCTCAGTTCAAGACTTCAACACTCTCAGGCGAGAATGCCTAGAGTCAGGAACGCTTTTCGAGGATCCTCAATTTCCGGCTGAGTAAACAAATTATTAATTATTAATATTAAAAATTATTAATTAGTAATTCAGATTAGAAATTACCGAATATTTGCCAGTTTTCAATCATTTTCAATAAGCTCTTAAAATGGCAAAAGTAATTCAAAAATTTAGTAAGTGTGAATTTCATTTTGCATTATATTATAAAATAAATTGAGCTTAAATAAATTGTTTATAATGAAAATAGCTTAAGAAGCCACGAGGCTGAAAATAAATAAACAATAATAATATTACATTTGATCTTGTTATCCTAGGAAATC